GGGCTGGAGAAGAAAGAGAAAATGCATCTTTGTCCATCCTGGCCTCTCCCACGGGTGAGGAAGAGGAACACTGCGCTGGGCTCTTCTTTGCTCTCGTCACCCCGTGAAAAATATCCCCAACTGATGACAGACTGGCATCGCTAAAACCCTCCTCATGGTCGTGGTCCTGGCGTCTTCTGCCAAGGTTTCATCACAGGGGTTGAAGGAGGAAATGATATGGGATACTCAAGTTCCTTGCTGTAGATGCCTTTGACTAATTCCATAACAAAAAACACTCTTTTATAAACACCATCCTGACTCCTTTATCTCAGATTCCACACCTTGTTCTAGGGAAATGCCAAGCCCCTTTCTCGAGAAGACTGGGCTTTTTAAAAAGTGAAAAAAAAAAAAAAAATGGGAAAAAGTTAATGCAAAATAAGGATTTTAAAAAAATCAAATTGGTAGGGGACTATATCATTTATTGCCCAACCTGTAATACTTCTGAAAGTAGAAAGGAACGCTAGTCATGATGATCTCAGTCAACAAGCCTAGGCCAGGACTAGTCCAGAGCACCTGCCTGCACGAGGTGATCTTCCTACCACTGTACTCCCATTCCCAGCACCTGCTGGCTACATATAGCTGGGGGACCCCAGGCAGAGTGAGACGCCTCAATGAGTTCTTGATTCTGATACACAATCTCCTGCTGCTATCAAGATTTGGAGTTAGGCGGGGTTGTGAAAGGGAAGCTAAGAGATAATCATTTATCATCTCTGAACGACACAAAAAAATTTTCCCACCCTCGAGTCTAGCTTTAGATGGTCTCCATGGAATTTTTTTAAAAATATCGATTTAGTTTTTTGGTCACGTCATGCGGCATGGGGGATCTTAGTTCCCCTACCAGGGACCGAACCCATGCCCCCTGTAGTGGAAGCGCAGAGTCTTATACACTGGACTGCCAGGGAAGCCGCACCCATGGAATTTTTTTAAAATTAGCACATTGAGGAGATACCCCTCCATTGACCAGATTTTCAGTGTTTGTCAATAGTGATGTCTACTTGTCGTAGACAGTGATCATGATGATGCTACAAGGTCTTCTCTCAGGCAGTAGATAAGCTTCTATTTTCAATCCCCTCCCTCCCAGACCTATCAGTGGCATCTGACACAAGTGATGGCCCTCCCCTTGCAATGCCTTCTTGGCTTCGGGGACCCTCCCCTCTCCCCTGGCTCTTCCTTTTCAACCTTCTCTTTTGGTTCTCCCTCGTGCTCCCAAATTTTCACATTACAGCATCTTGGGACTCAGTCCTTGGACCTTTTCTCCTCTCTCTCTCTCTCTCTCTCTCTCTCTCTCTCTCTCCTCACTCCCCTGGGGATCTCATACAATCTCATGGCTTTAAGTACCATCTCTACCATCTGATTAGGGTTCCAGCCTGGGCATCTCCTCTGAACTCCAGATTTATATCCATCAGGCAGGCAACTCCGGGATTCCTAGGGATAACTCTAGCCGTTGGAAGATAAAAACCTCAGAGTCATCCTTGACTTTTCTCTGTTTTACATCCCATGATGAAATTCTTCGGGATCTACTTTTTCTGCACTTATATGCATTGTCATTTGCGTGGATCTGACTCTTGACTTTCTGTTTTGTTCTATGGGTCTAATTCCCTATTTCCACCCCACCTCCACACTGTCATACTTATTATTGTTTTATAATAAGTTTCTGTTTGGTAGAGCACCATATCCCTCCCGATCCGTCTTCGAGAGTGTCTTCTTGCCTCTTCCTAGACTTTGCTCTTCCACATACATCATCAAGGAGACAAGGACCTTAGAACATTATTGTTCTGTTTATTGCCCACCCAACTTAACAGATTAGTGATGTGTAGAGTTTAAATTCTGCCTTATCTTTGATCCCATGAGGCGTCATCTTCATCGTTTTCACAGTCGAGGTTCATACAGATTCTCCCACTGGTTTATCACTTTGATTATTCTTCATTTCTTTTTAAAACTATGGTTTTCCGTATGGGGTCATATCTGAAGCACATAATTAGAATTCCTTTAGTAAAAGATTCAGTTGGTGGCAAACTCTCAGTTTTTGTCTATAAATATCTTTATTTTATCCTCATGATATTCCTAAAGGATATTCTTCCTGGTTATAGAATTCTGGATAAGTAATTGTTTCCTTTTCAGCACATGAAGACAACATGTCATTTCTAATTGCTATGAGAAATCAATGGTCAATCTAACAGCCTTTTTATTGAAGGTAACTTGTCTTTTGTTTTCTGACTGCATTTGAGATTTCTCTTGTGTCTTATATAGTCTATGATTTCACTATGATGAGTCTAGATGTAGATTTATTTTATTTTTTTTCTGCTTGGGTTTCATAGGGATGCTTCAATCTGTGGGTTGGAATTCTGTAGCAGATTAGGAAACCATCAGTCATTATATTTCATTCATTAACTTTTCTCTTTCCTCTTTGTCCAGTATTGCAATGAAATGTATGTTAAATCTCATTCTACCAATATTTCCAAATCTCTTAATTTCTCTTCTATATATTTTATCTTTTGCCTCCCCATGCTGCATTATGGATAATTTCTTCTAACCTATACTGCAGTTCACAAATTCTCTTCAGCTGTGTCTAGTTTGCTGTTTTATATATATATGTACACTATAATACAAACAACATTCATATACATGTAAAATGTATTATATATTCATATACATGTATTTCATATTCATGTATTTATTTCTAGCAGATTTATTGGTTGGTTTTCAAATCTTCTAAGCCATTTTTTTCAATAGTTTCTTATTCTCTGCAGATTTTTCAAGCTTGATGTTTTAACTTGTAACTGGTATTTCCAATATCTTTTGTCTTTGCTGTCCTCATTGTTCCTTCTCAAGGTGCTTTAGCTTCCTGTGTAATTGGTTGTATTCTCTTCGTTGCCCTTGAAAATTCTTTTGCGGGATTTCTTGAGGCCTAGCATGAATCTGCCTTCCTCCAGAGAGAACCTGTATTTGCTTCTGCTGGGCACCTGGGAGCACTGCTAGTTCCAGACCGAGTCCACAACCTGAGGTTCCCGATCCTCTCCTGTGATGAACCAAGCTGTAAATCCACCATGGGGACTGCCCATAGCCACTTCTTGGGGACAGGGCGTTTGTTTCCCCTTTTCTCCCTATTCTACTTAGAAAATAACAATCTTCTCTGAAGTCCCAAAGTTGGGGGCGGGGTGTGGCTAGTTATTCATCTTCATTCTGAGAATGTAGCCCTTTGGTGTTCCAATTTAACTTGGTGAGGACTTCCTGCTAGAAGCTCTCTTTGAGCCAGTCATACCCCCTGATTTCCATCCTCCTTGCCCCATAAAAACCACCAAAGCACAAGCCCAAGTTTGCCTAGATGGGAAAATGTCCTCAAGGTAAAAGCAGCATTAGTGCCCAGATATTTGTTTCCTTGGTCCCATTTTCCTTTAGAGTTCAGTCTAGTATTCCTGACTATCCTGTCAGTCCTTCAAGCTTTAAGAAGATTGAAAAATATATTTATCCACAATTTTTTGCTACTTTCAGCAAGATGGGATGCTACAAATATCCCAACCTACCACTGCTGGAGATGGAAGCCTATTTTACTTATCTGTTTTCTTATTTATGCATGTATTTGTTATCTGTCGACTCCTTAAGGGACAGATTATTTTACTTTAGTTTCTACTCTATGCTCAATGCCTAAGAATAGTGTCAAGCACATAGCTGGCACCCATGAAATAGTTCCTGAATGAATGAATAAACTCTTTGACAACATTATGCATATTGTGGGAGGCTTGGAAGTGCTAAATTAAACTGTATACCATTCCAGCTAAACACACTGCAACTCACCACATATTCTTGAATAAATTCCACTCTTCTTAAGCAATGAGGAGATCGCAAGTGTAGACTTCTAAGCTCTGGCAAGGCACCCAGCACCTCTGCACTTCAGAAGTGTTGAAGCAGATGGTGCCCGTGCATCTTTCACTTTTCAAACTTCTGAGATTAGGACACAGTTCCCGTCCTCAATGATCATAATGGCAATAATAATGGAAATAGTAACCTCAGGCCAGGGTCAGTGTTACCCCTGGCCAGTGGGTCCAGAAAATTATTATAATTTCAGTCCCAATTTCTGGAATAAGCAATCCCTCCCCAACCCCACAACTAACGTGTAGTCCTGCTTGGAAATGCCGTAAGGACAGAGGTTCCCATCTTGAATACGAGAAGGAGTCTCGTATTCAGACGGGGGGCAGGTGTCTCTGTGCCCCGAGCTCAGTCCTCTGAGTTTCACCTTCCCGAGGTCTCCTCGCTTCAGTTCCTGTTGTCTCACCCCTCGTGGCTCCCAGGAATGACTTACTGCCACTTCACTGATCAAGTCCAGGTATGAACCACAGACCCATTCCTCACCTTCTCCGACACAGTGGAGACCATCTGGGTCTCTCCAAAGGGCTCTTCCAAACTCTCGGGAAGAAGACAGGGAAGTAAACACAGCAACTACAGGGAGGCTAAAGAATCAGGCTTACAGAGCCCGAGCCGGCTGCCTTCTGTGCCTTCCAGAAGCTGTTCGTCTCCACCAGCCACCAGGGAGAGGCTGCCTGCAGCTCCGACAGGCTGCCACCATTCTACAGCCGCCTTCCCTGCACAGGTAAGACCTTGTTCCAAGGTCTCCATCTGCCGCGATGTGGGAGACACCTTCTCACAACCCACCCCTGGAAACTCCATCTTCAAACATCTGTGGTCAAGGCTGGGAAGACAGAGCCCCCTTCTATGGCCACTGAAGGCCACTGACCCTCCCAGGGCTGAGGTTCCGTCTGAGGGAATCACCTTCCCCGCTTCGGGTAACCAACAGCAGCAATGGCCTGGCTATCACGGGAGATGCTGTCCCTCTAGAAGGACTGTGGCTTCGTCTTCACTAGTCCCTCACCGTCCCCACAGCATAACAGGCTAACACCCCCAGCATTCACACAGCAGGATCCACACGCACACGTCATGAGCAGGTGTTTCCGCCAGGAAATTACCATGAACAAGATGGAGGCGAAGTTCATCAAGTAACCTGGGAGACGATCTTTCCAGGTCAGCTTGTCTTCATCATCCTGGGGAGAAACAGGGGAACAGTGACCATCAGATGCCACAAATAACAGATATAGAATGTCTCTCAATTTCCCATAAATGTGAATATTATTAATCATTCGTCGCTCCATTTAGGTATTTTTCTAGTCTGTGATGCCTTACCCTACACATCAACAACAGCCCTCCTAATTTTGTGATTTGTAGGTAGCCTGGAAAATCTGTGGTGAAAAGAGGACAATATTTGATTTCAGCCTCATACTGGGCTGAAGTTTTAGTTCAACCACTCCTCAGCGGTGCGATCTTCGATGTGTCTCTTAACGTTTCCGACCTTCTATTTCTTCATCTGTAAAGTGGTCACAGTCGTGACCCCCATCCTGGCTTATGCACAGGATGGTTTTATATGTTTCATTTTTATTTTAATGAGAAGCAGGTGAAAACAAGAGACAGATGACAGATACAAATGACCACAGGGCAGCATCCTAAAACAGATCATCATTTAAATCAAACATCAACCATTGACCTTAGATCCTAAGTGTATAAACTACCCACAATTCTTGTTGTTCAAAGAACCTGTATGTGCTGTCATCTGTTTCCTCCAAAACAACTGTTCTCCCCTCGTCACAAATGCAGACAATTCAAGATGCAGGTTAAGCTGATGCCTTGCTGTCAGTCTGGCTGAGAACCAGACTGGATCCAGTCTACAGGCTGCTCTCCTTGGGACCACCATATCCCGGCCCACATCCTCCTTCAGCACCCGCTAAGGACCCTCATCTGGTAGGGTGATGCCAACAAGGTATGAGTGGCTAAAACCTCTGCTGATTAATATCCACATAATTTTAGCCCAGGCACCTGATTTATCTGAACTGCAGTGCTTTAAAATTATAACTGATACAGTGTCCTGCCGACACTGCATCAATTCAAGGTTGCTGTGGAGACCATCTGAAGCCACGCTGGGGAGGATGCCAGGAGAATGGCAAAGCCCTCCATGCTGGCGAGGTAGGGCCCCCTGCATTTCTGTAGCGTGTCTGAATCTAAGTCAGCAAGTGCGAGTTCCAGGGCCTGCTCAGTTTCTCTCTTCCCTCCTCACCACGATTTCACAACACACCTGATCTAGCTCTAGCAACGGCGCCATCTAGTCTTTGAAAGCCTGTGCTGTAAGCGAAGGGCCTTCTTGGCCTCAAAGGATTCTTTCTAAAAATCTCTGTGTGCCCACTGTGTGCAAACCTTAGGGCCAGGCACAGTGGGGAGACAGAGAACAGTGGACATGGTCACTGGCCCTGGGGGGTTCCCAGTCTAATGAGATGGTGACACCCACACACCCAAAAAGCTTGCCAGTTTGGGAATGCAGGTTATCCTGGGAGTTAGCCTGTGGGGGATTTGAGGAAAGGAACGGTGTGTCTTTCTCATGGCGTGTCTGGAGCTGAGCACAGGGTCGAGCAGGCTTAAATGGGGGTGGAAATGAGCATTAAGGCTGCAGTCATTCAGTAACGAGCGCTTTCGTTTACTCGTGATGTCAACAAGCGATGCTCAGTTTCTCCTGGACCCCGATAGGATCAGGTCTCCAGACTCTGTGCCCAACAGACTTTCTATCACACAATGAGAACAAGGTCACTGCAGGTCGTGACCGTGCACAGGTGGAACTATAAAAACCTATTTCTATTAGGACTGAAGCAAGTCTTCCAAATGAGGCCAAACATCAAAAGGGACTAGCATGCTTTTCTCTTTTCTTCCAGTACTCATTCTTAGTTTCACTCACACTAGTGGTATTTTCCTTTAAGATTCTGATGAGGAAAAAACTGAAGATGGGCAGGCAGATGATAACTCCGTAGGGATTATGAAAAGAAGTCGAGGGGCGTGTGGTGGAGCTCGTCCTGAGGCCTCTCTCACTACAATTAAGGTTTGGATGACTCTCTGACTCTTTTCCTGCTCTCTGGCCTGGGGATGAGAGGTTCTGCCTCAAAGATCAGCAAATCAGGTGTGCTCAGAAACACCAGCGGTGGGGAGGGAAGGGGGAACTCCAGTTACCGGTTCTGTGTCACCAGTGCCTCCCCAGTGGGGCTCCCTGAGTGGCGAGCAGGGCAAGGAGAGGTAAGAAACCTGGGCTTGGCCCGTGAAACGAGAGGAAAGGGCGAGAAGGCAGTCAGTAAGGATGAGCCCAAGCTCAGAGTGGTCCTCAGGGACGAGATGGACCGTCCTGGAAGAAATGGGGGGAAGGGAAATACAAGCAGACGGCAGGAAACATGGCCCCAGATGAAACGGGCTCAGAAATAAGGATAATTGCAGAGGATGAGTAATGAGCCCAAGGGAGGCGCCGGCGGCTGAGATGTTTTGTAAGGTTGCCGCCAGGTGTCGTCTGCCTTCTTCAGGCCAGGGACCAAGCGGGATGAGGTGTCTTCAGACCAGCCTCTACCGCGCAGTGACAGCTCTGTCCTGGAGAATGAGTTTTGGTTCTGTTCTACTCAACGAACGTCGTCTGAGTGCCTGGGATGGGCCGGGCTCTGTGCTGGATGCGGAGGACACAGAGGACAGAAGTCTCTGCCCTGCCCAGAAGGAGCTCCGTTGCCACCCACGAAACACGGAGAAGGATTTCAGAGCTAATCCTAGTAAGGAAGGTGGCGTTGTTATTTTGCAGCAAAATGACGCATAACTAAAAAGCAACTGAATTCGACGTCCTCTCAAAGCAACTATCTTAAAGAGCAATACTCACTTTGATATACATGTTCCGGTATGTGCTGAAAACTCACTCTCCACCCACGTTTACACCGATGAGCCCTTTTTTCTAGAAGTGATAGCTTCCAACGTACACACAGTTCTCCTACATTCAGACACTTTCCAAACACAAGCGCTGAGAGAACACAGAGATTACAGACTGCCTTCCAAGCTTCCGAAGTTACTAGTAAAGATGACAGTGAGTCAAGTGGCCTTTATGTATAATAACTGGCTCTGGTAACAGAAGCTAATTAGCATCTCCGGTCACTGGCACACGAAAGACGTGCAGATACATGGCAAAATACCATCCAGTTAACTACGCTCTGCGTGAAAGTCACACGAGCAGCTTATGGGATATGGCAGAAGAAAAGTAGAACTTGGAACCAGAACTTCTGAATTCAACTCTTGGTTCTAATACCTACGAGTCAAGTGACCTTGGGAAATTCCCAGAACCTCCATTTCCTCATCTGCAAAGTAATTATATTCCTTACCTGTAGAATGTATAAATGGTAACATCTATTGCACCAAATTGCTATGCGTTTTATATTAATTAGCCAACCCTAATTGGGAGGGGCCAAGCCAGTGCACCTGCAAACACAGGTAAGCGAGAACTCTCAGCCCCTCCCTCTCCTTTCAACACAGAGATGGTAACACCTGTCCCACCGACGTGGCAGAGGTCGTGTGCGGTCCCATGGCTGAACGCCTGGGAGAGAGCTTTGTCAACTCTAAGGCATCACACAAAAGCAAGGTCTAATCAGCTTCACGATAATTTCAGAAGCAGGTGGTTAGGAAGCACTCAGCTAATTCACCATTGTTAAGCCATGAGTCCAGCTGTCGTCCATGCTCGTGTCCTTGTCCCTGGACTACGGCTCCCACTTCTGAGTCTCCAAACAGGAAGCAGCATGACGACACTCACATAAAACCACACAAGTGGCCTTTTGACAAACTGTATGGCTGGAAATGCAATCACTGTAAACGCAGTAGATGAGACTACTATTCAAGCAAATCCCTTGGAGGGCAACCTTGAAAAGTGGCCAGTCACCCCTGAGTTGGTATTTTTTTCAATTAAGGTATGAATTTACATATAGTAAAATTCACCTTTATTAGTGTGCAGTTCTGCGGGTTTTGATAAACACGTATGTATTGTCATGTAACCATGACCACAATCAAGATACAGGACCATCACCCCCTGAATACTGCCCGCATGTCTCTCTGTGGTCCATCACCTCCCTCAATCTCCAGCTCCTGGCAAGACCTGTTCTCTGTCCCTTTAGTGTTGCCTTTTCCAAAATGTCATGGAAGTAAATTCACACAGTATGGACCCTTCTGAGTCTCACTTAGTGCACTTAGTGCCCTTTTCTTACTTAGTGCACTGCATCTGGGATGCACCCCTGCCGCATTCCCAGAAATTTGTTCCTTCTTATGGCTGAGTACTATTTCACTGTATGGACGTGCCATGTTTCATCTAACCACCCCTGGCTGACAGATGTTTGGATTGCTTCCAGTTGTTGGCAATTATGAAGAAAGCTGTTGGAAGTATTTCTGTACTGGTTTTGGTGTGACTATAGGTTTTAGGGAAATACCAAGTAGTGGAAATGCTGAATCATGGGTTGAGTGTATATTTGGTTCATAAGCAACCGCCAGACTGTTTTCCAAAATGGCCGTTGTGCTATTTTTGCATTTTCACCAGGAACATATGAGAATTCCTTCCTCTACTTTCTTTGCTTTAAATAAACTTTTCTATTTTAGAATAGTTTTAGATTTACAGAAAAGCTTCAAAGACGGTACAGAGTATGTGTGTGAGTGTGTGCATATATGTATGTGTGTGTGTGTGTGTGTGTGCGTGTATATATATACACGCACACACATACACACTCTGCACCCAGTTTTCCTGTTATGTTTGTATGAGTACATTTTTTGCAACCAATGAACCAATTTTGTACATTATTATGAATTAAAGTTCACACTTTATTTGGATTTTCTTAGTTTTCACTTAATATCCCCTTTCTGCTCCAGTCCTATCCAAGATTCCACATTATATTTAACCACCAAGTCTTCTTAGGCAACTCTAGACTATGATGGCTTCTCAGGCTTTTCTTGTTGTCAACGACCTTGTCATTTTAGAGAAGCACCTGGTCAAGGATTTTGTAGAATGTTCTTCAATATGGGCTTGTCTGAAGTTTTTCCCCTAATTAGACTGAAGTTATGGGTTTGGGAGAGGAAGACCACGGAGGTAAAGTATCATTTTCATCTCATCGTATCCAAGGGACAGGCTAGAATATGACCTGTCACTCACGATGTTAACCTTGATCGC